TTTCTTAAATAATTTATTTACCGTCTACGTTTTTTCTACCAAATCTCCAAATTTCGAAAGAAAAGAAAGCAAGAAGAAGTGTTAATTATAAATTTCAAATTTAGATTGTATTATTGCTTTTCATTTTTGATATAATTATTTGTTGGTAACTGTCAGATATATACGATAATTTTGGAAAAATCAACCTATCCCCTTAGGGCCATTGAGGTGAGTACCCGGCTATAAACTTCAGGGCCCCGTGCGATTAGTTGAGGTGCGCGCAAGCTGGCCCGGACATTCACGTTTATCAAAATTGTTTTTGGAAAAATCAACCCACTACCATTTATATTATATATATTATTGATACGTAAGCAAAAATATATATATATGTATAGAAAGACAAAATTTTTAATCTAAAATAGATACGTAATCTTTTTTAGCTCACACCAATATCTAAACCGATTAACCAAACCAAACCGACCCAAACCGATTTAGGTTGGTTTGGTTTGGTTTCAATGATTGGATCGGATCGGTTTGGTTTGGAATTTATCGAAGTTATGGATTGGACTCAAAACCAAACCAACCCGAACCATGCCCAGGCCTAGTGTTAGTAAACGAAACACCTACTGAAATTTTCATTTCTTTCATAGTAATAATTTTAATACATATTTGAAAAACAACAGTACTGGGAATTCTAGCTTTGAGAAGTGTTTTGTTAGGAGAACAAGTAGCCTCTGATATCGATTGATGCAAAACAGGACTATGAGAGAGATAAAAGTAGGAAAAGAAGAATAACTAAGAAAATTTGAGAAACACTAAAATCAATAATATACATAATTGAGAAATTTATCCTATTTACCCTTTCCTATAAAATGGGAAGTTTCCAAAATAACGAAATGGAAAATGAATTTAGGGGACTTTGCCGGATTTGCTGACTTGAAACCAATTTGTAAGTTTTTGAGAAGAAAACTTATTCTCGTACATCATTAATCTGTTCATATGAATAGTGACAAATAGTATTACAGTCGTATACAATCTAACTCACCTTAGACTAAGACTCTTCTAATGGATAGAATCTAATAAAACAGTAAACCACTAAATATCTGAATATAACAATTTCAGATTTATTCAAAACAATTCAAATAAATCCCCTAATCTCCTAACTTTTCGACACTCCCCCTCAAGTTGGTGCATGAATGTCTATCATGCCCAACTTGCTAGTTAAATGTTCAAAGTTAGGCCTTTGTAGTCCTTTAGTTAAAATGTCGGCAATCTGCTGAGTAGTTGGTACAAATGGTAAGCAAATAATTCCAACTTCACTCTTCTCCTTAATAAAATGTAGATCAATTTCCACATGTTTTGTCCTATCATGCTGAACTGGATTATGTGCAATAATACTAATTGCCGCTTTATTATCACAATATAATTTCATACGAATCTGTGTTGGTTTCCTCAGTTCATCCAAAATTCGACTATATCATTGCATTTCGCAAACCTCAAGAGTCATTGCTTTGAATTCAGCTTGAGCGCTACTTCTAGCTACAACGCTCTCTTTTTACTTCGCTAAGTTACAAGATTACTCCAAACAAAGGTACAA